CAAGCAAAAACGCATGTTGACGAATGATTGTCGGTATGTAAATGCTGAATTGTGATTGTGTGTGTGCCTGCGTGTATGTGCGTGTGTGTGTTTGCATTCGAATTTTGTCTCCACTTTTAACTGAACAACTGGAAGAGCTAAACAGCTGGAATTTCAAGAGGATGTTCCTAGCCCACGTGCCAACCGTCAACTTAAAATCAACCGCCTGGATATCATCTACGTCCACCTAAATGAAAATACGCAATTGTTTGATGGGAAGGCGGTTTCGGGAATCAAAGGATAGGGGCCTATATTTTTACAAGGGTATCCTGTGTCCTTGCGTAAGCTAAGGATTTCAGATCCAGCTTTAATACTCTCTACGCTACGCGTGCAGGCAAATCGAAGTTGAGACTGAGACACCGCTAGCAGAATGCCAACCCGGGAACTAAGTTACGCAGAATGGTTTGATTTTTAACGAAGACTTATTGTCTGTGACCGGACCTAAAAATATAGAATTAATTTTCATGTATTACGAGTACAGGCACGAGAAAAACATTTGTAGCGAAGAAGCAATTTATGGATCCAGTCAGACTATGAAGCCGAGATTTTACGAAGATATTTGCTAGCCATTTGCGACCCGAATTCATCAAATTTGGTTTTGTGACACGTCTGGGTCTTGCGCTACATGCAAGTAGGGTTTCAACTTTGAACAATTCTGGCATCCGTTTAATGCTGTAGCCAGACTACACTGGAAGCTACAACTTTATGTGAAAGTTAGCTGCCCACGTGCAAGCCTGTATTTGCTACATATATACCCGCGCCCGGGCGTGTCAGCTATTGGAACTGCAATACTTTCTTTCGGTAGCAGACAGATGCGAAAGAACACGTTTTACGCAAAGTGTTTACATATCTTGTGCGGCACAAGGATCCTAATATTATCTTCTACGAACAGCAACGTCTCGTCAAACGTGAAAATGTGAAATCGTTCAGCAAACTCTATTCACGTTAATCATATGTGCTGGTGTTCGAGTTTTCACACGGCCCCATAATGCAGCAGTACCATCTCAGTCGTCAACTCATGCCTCTTTCATATCGCATACAACAAATAAACACAAACGCCGACAGCGTCTGTGCACATGTTAAACTATAAGCAGTGACCATCCATACTGTTGATGATCAGATTGCCTTTGCATAAAAACACATGATCGCATCAGCAACTCTGGTGCGTGCAACTACTGATTCAATTTTTTTTAAGCGTTCGTACGTGAAACAGGGGTTTACGTAACAGCTGACTTTAAGTTTTTAGGACTGCGCATGAATCGGAGGCATCCCTGTAAGATTTCAGCTCCCTAAATTCTATTGTACCAAGGTTAAAATGAGTGACAAAATCCGAACACACATACAAACACACAAAGCCTCTTGTTAATATGCTTCTTTGCATCGCATCAGTTAAACAACCATTGGCAAAGCGCACCGAATGGGCATGAGTGATCATGCGTTTTTGCAATATTTCGTGCTATAATGAGATTGCTCGGAAACCCAGTAATGTGATATACTGCTCTTTGAAGTCAGGGAAGCTACTAGCCTATACAGTATTTGGACAGGAGACATTCGTTTCAAATTTCAGCTTTCCAAATTTTCTAGTTCTTGAGTTAGCAGTTTTTCTGCCAGAAATTTTTGCGGAGCTGTAGGTGAGTACCACATACACTGAAGGGCTGAGTTTGATAGTTTAAGTGGTACTTGTGCTAGGAACATTCCCTGAAAACGTCAGGTTCCCAGCCTTTCTGGTTCCCGAGTTAGCCACTTTCGAGCCAAAAACTTTCCCGAGTTAGCCACTTTCGAGCCAAAAACTTTTGCGGGGCCGTACTGAGAAACACGCATGCTCTGGAGCTGAATTTGATAAATTTAAGCTGAAAATGTGCACGGAACATTTTCTGAAAATTTCAGCTCTTCAGCTTTCTTGGTTCCCGAGTTAGCCATTTTCGCGGCGGAAACTTTCACAAGGCCGTACGTGAGATTTACACTCATTGAGGGGCTGATTTTGGAAGTTTTAAGTTATAATCACGTTAGGAACATTCCCTGAAGATTTCAGCTTCCCAGTTTTCCTGGTTCCCGCATTAGCCATTTTCCGCCAAAACTTTAACTGTCTTGTACGCGGGGTCCAGACTTAAGTGAGGGTCGGTACAGCGGTCCTAGGGTAGTACTTGGCCGGGGAAGCTACCGGCAAAATTTTGGCGCCGGAGCTTGCTTGGGCGCCGAGTTAAAATATCCGGACAGACAGACACACACACCGGAGTCGTCACAATATGCGCATTTTTGCATTTGCATAAAAGCAGCCCAGGCTGGAACGTACCGGGCAGGCTCGCGCGATCATGCGTTTTTGTACCGGACTTGAATTACTCAGGTCATTGACTGCACGAATGGCTATTGCTTTATACCGACCTTTTGCGGTCACTAGCATAAATCACCATAAATTTTGCAAAGCAAATGTACAATTTCCAGTTAACAGTCGTTCTTTAAAAGTAACCTAGTTGTTCAGTAAGAAATTTTTCGTTAAAATTTTTAAGTGCCTGTACGTAAGAACCATGCATACCTCAAGGCTGAATTTGACATACTTAAGTTGCACTTGAACAGGGGACATTACCCTAAAATTTCAGCCTTCTAGTTTTTCTGGTTAGCGAATTAGCAATATTCCCGCCAACACATTCACATGCCCGTACGTGGGTGCTCCACGCGCGTAGAAAGCTGAAGATGAAATTTTTAAATTGCACGTGGACAGGGGAAATCCCCTTTAAAATTTCAGTCTTCCAACTTTCTGGTTACCGAGTTAGTAATTTTCCCGCCAGCACATTCACATGCCCGTACGTGGGTGCTCCACGCGCTTAGAAAGCTGAAGATGAAATTTTTAAATTGCGCATGGATAGAGAACATCCGCCTAAAATTTCAGCCTTCCAGCTCTTCTTGTTGCCGAGATAGTAATT